CTCAGGGGGGTCTGCACGGCTCTGCCCACCCCCAGGACCCCCCAACCCCACTTGTCCCCAACAAACCACCCCCTTCCCAGAGGGCAGAAGCTCCGGGAGGGACAGACACCCCCAACAAACCACCCCCTTCCCAGGGGAAAGACACAGGGAAGGATGGACACCCCAACCCAGGGGCACCCCAAACCCCACTCAGGGGGGTCTGCACGGCTCTGCCCCCCCCTGCCCGCCCCCCTGGCCCCTCACCAGGCCCCCCCGGCCCCTCACCAGTCCGCCCAGCTCCTCCAGGGTAACAGCAAAGAGCCTCTCGTTGAGCCCCAGCGCCGTGAACACGCCCGTGGCGTCCGGGGGCAGCCGCGCCTTGTCTGGGGAGGGGGGAGACGGGACCAGATCCCAAACCCGGCCGGGCACGGGCAGGGGAAATGCCCCCCCCGGCCCCGGGACAGCGGCACTGACCTCCAGAGGAATTCACCTTGACCAGGACGTGCTCTCCGGGCCCCCCGAGGCGCGGGGCCAGCGCCCGCAGCACCTCCCGCACCGAGGCGGCCACGGGCAGCACCGACACCAGGCACGAGTGGTCGGCGCGGTAGATCTCGTAGGGCACTGCGGGGGGGGCAAAGGGGGGCTTCGATGTCGCAGCAGCGGTGGGAGAGGGTCCCCGGGGGTGGCACTGCCTTTGTGCTGTGCTCGCAGGGCACAGGGCACGGTCCCTCAGGGCACAGGGCACAGGGGATGGTCCCCCGGGGGTGGTACTGCCTTTGTCCTGAGCTCTAGGGGCACAGGGGACAGGGCACAGGGCACAGTCCCTCAGGGCACAGGGGACAGGGGACGATCCCCTGGGGTGGCACTACCTTTGTCCTGGACTCTCAGGGCACAGGGGACAGGGGACGGTCCCCGAGGGTGGCACTACCTTTGTCCTGGGCCCTCAGGGCACAGGGGACAGGGGACGGTCCCTCAGGGCACAGAGGATGGTCCCCCGGGAGTGGCACTGCCTTTGTCCTGGGTTCTCAGGGCACAGGGGACAGTCCCCGGGGGTGGCACTGCCTCTGTCCTGCGCTCTCAGGGCACAGGGGGCTGTCCCTGGGGGTGGCACTGCCTTTGTCCTGGGCTCTCAGGGCACAGGGGACAGGGGACGGTCCCCCGGGGTGGCACTACCTTTGTCCTGTGCTCTCACTGCACAGGGGATGGTCCCTTAGGGCACAGGGGACGGTCCCCGGGGGTGGCACTACCTTTGTCCTGCGCTCTCAGGGCGCAGCCACCGTCCGGAGCCGCCTCCTCCGCGCTCCCGAGCCACGGCCCCGCGCTCCGAGCCTGGGGGAAAAGGGGGGACGGGTTGGGAGGGCGCGGCCCCACCCACCAGCCCTCCTGCCTGGGGGGTCCAGGTGCCCAAAAAACACCTCCTGGCACCCCCAGGGTGGTCCCACATCCCCACACACACACCCTGACCCCCCCCAGGGCAGTTCCACACCCCCCAGACACCCCCTGTCACCCCAGGGTGGTCCCACATCCCCCAGACACCCCTTGTCACCC